GTCATCAAAAAATTTCTTGTGGTTTAAGGAATAAACGGAATGCTACATTATACTAAAGCCAGCCTCTCGACATAAGCCACAATGTTTGCTCGTTCGGATAGCTCCTCACATGTATGTACAGTATATTTTGCTTAGCTGCACATCCTTCTTTGCACGAAAAACTTGTGCACGTAACCGAAAAAGGCACTTAAGCGAATTTTCTTTACTACTTCAATAAGGAAGGTATCCGAATCTCTATGAAACCAAATATTGGCGGAGCACTTACCATGTAGAAATTAATGCAAGCGAAATTTTTACCGAATGTTATCTAATTATCTATATAACTACATAAATTGATAGCCACTTTCGTTGTTCTGCGAGATGAGCAAAATAAATAAAAGGTTGTAAAATTAGGTAATTGTAGGGCCAGTGCAGGTAAACGTAATACTTTCATTGATAATTGATACTAGTCGCACAATTTTTAAGGCAGGTATCGCCAATGTGCAGGTATGTCGAATGCATCTATCGGAGCAGTTTCCTTATAAATGTTAAAAATAATGCTTTTGATGCGCATTTTGGGGTAGGTATCTTAAATGTGCACTTAAGCATAGAGGCAGCAAAGCAAAATATACTGTATATACGCATTAAACAAATATTGTATTGTTGCAAACTTCAGGAACAAAAAGCCACCTGAAAGGAAAGGGGTGAATGCAAAATGCAAACTTCAAAAACAAATTTGTAATTACTAGTTTACCATAATGTTTTGAGTGACTTCTAAGCAGATTCCATTTGACGTACATAGGTGCATCTGGAAGCATATGAAATATCTTATATGTATTCCGAGCTACATATGCATAGTGACGCTTCAAGCGGTAGTAATATTTCCAGGATTTACAGGACGTGGCGCAAGGCAATCGCTTTTCCTATAAAACATGCAAATCTTACTGTTGCTGGAATACACCCAATGAAGTCTTAAAATGAACCAGAAATTAGTTACTGACTTACTTTATTGTTTTTATCCAAGTTATCCAAGCACAATTAATCTGACAATTGGATCCAAAAGGCTTTGGGTACAAAAATCTGCCGGCAATTAGGAACAATTGGATTCACAAAGTTATCAGGAACTATTTATTGAATGA